AACGAAGTGTAACCCAGCCGATGATGCATCGCGTGGTATCACTGCCAAGGAACTCGTTGAAAGTTCAAGATGGATTTCGGGGCCAGAGTTCCTTTGGACGCCCGAAGACCAGTGGCCACAACCCCTCGAGGCTCAAGACCTCGTTACGCCATCAGACGATCCAGAGGTGAAGAATTTGACTTCTTATGCAACAAGTACGCAAGAGCCATGGAACCTTGTTGAGAGTTTAAACTACTTCTCGGACTGGCATAGGGCGTGTAGAGCCGTTGCTATCTGTCTACGCTACAAGCAAAAACTCCGTCAACTAGCGTCCTCCAAGAAAGAAAGTTGTGCTAAACCAACAAAACGTCAGCAAAAGCCTGCCCTGACAGTGGAAGAGATTTTATCAGCTGAAAGGGAAATCCTCAAAGCAGCCCAGAGGGTCGCCTTTTCAAGGGAAATGGGTCTGTTAAAGCCGTTTCAAGAAGGACAAGATAGATCATCCGCGCAGCAGAAGAAGAGAGCCATGAAGGCGATGAGCTCGTTGTACCGCCTCGACCCATTCATTGACCATGATGGAGTGCTACGAGTTGGTGGTCGGATCCAACGAGGCAATTTTACAGATAAAACAAAGTTCCCAGTCATCCTTCCGAGAAAGGGCGACGTTACAGGTCTGATCATTAAGCACTACCATGAGAAGGTTCAACATGAAGGTCGTGGAATGTCCTTAAACGAGATCCGAGCCAATGGATTCTGGGTTATCGGCGGAACATCAGCTGTAGCCTCCAAAATTGCAAATTGTGTCACCTGCCGGAAGTTACGAGGTGCAGTCCAGGAGCAGAAAATGTCCGACCTTCCGGAGGATCGTCTGGAACCGGCACCCCCCTTCACCTACTGCGCTGTCGACTACTGTGGACCATGGTATATTAAGGAGGGGCGCAAGGAGGTAAGGAAGTATGTTGCCCTCTTCACGTGCATGGCATCAAGAGCCGTACATCTTGAAGTCTCGAACTCCTTGGAGACTGACTCGTTCCTCAACGCCCTGCGTCGTTTCATCTGCAGAAGGGGTCCTGTACGTCAGCTGCGCAGTGATCAAGGAACGAATTTCATCGGAGCAAAACGAGAGCTCCGCGAAGCGTTGCAGTCTATGGATCAAGGCAAGATCAGCACTGAGATGTT